AATTTAGTGCCTCTGGGCATCTGTTCTTGTAGACACCTCCTTTTACACTTCTCAGGATCACTGCCCCATCTGAGTTTAATTTCCCTTTGTAGAAACATTTCATTAATAAAAGAAATAGGAAACTGGTATACAGAAAAGCAAACGTAAGCACCTACAAATTTCTGTTTGCTTTTACAAGGATAATTTTAAGCTCCATGAGCATATTTAGAAATCATTTAGCACAAATGATTGGCAACAGTCGTTCAGTGTTTTGTTTGGGTATGTGCCAGCTGTGAGATAAAAGTTAAGTAAGGAGGCACACAGCATCAGAGATACTAGAGGGAGTGGCGGCAGCAGCGTCCTCAGTTGCCTTTCTGAAACATGCATGTTTGTGAACTTTGACTCCGTTTTGTTTATAGGCAACTCCCATTTATAATATAGGTAATCATTTTATGAGGGCATGCCAATGACATCCTCTTGAAATTTAAAAAGTGCCTACCAATACAAATAGGTTCCCTTTATCTGATGTAAAATAAGCGGAAGAATCAGTAGGAGATGCTGATGATGGATTTCTTGCATTACATTGTCAATTAGAAAAAAATGAAAGTTTATAAACGTATGCATTTCTGGTCCAGTGCCCTGTCACCTGAATGCTGAGTTAAAATTTATAATTTTGTAATGCTGAGCAAATACCTTCCAAGGAAATTAAGATTTAGGTCATACCTGACAACCCATGCCCTGTTGGGTCACTGTTTCAGAGATATTTCATTAATTAAACAGAGGAACAGAATGACCACAGATGGGCGAAAAACAGTGGGAGCAGGAGCAACTTCTGAATTCCTGCTGGCTTCCCCATTGAGTTTCTAAGAAAGGAAACCTTCCTCCCTTACTGTCTCCTCCCTCCTTTCAACTTTCCTTCCCTCTCTCCTTTCCTCCCTTCCCTGCTTCCTTCCCTCTCTCCCTCCCCTTTTCCTTCCTTTCTTTCCCCCTTCTTTCCTTTTCTTCTTCCTTCCTTCCCTGCCTCTTTCCCCCTCCTTCCTCTTCCTCCCTTTCATTATCTTCCTTCTTTCTTTTCTCCTTTCTTCCTTTCCTTCCTCCCTCCTTCAAATTAATGCAGGCTTCCCCATTTACTTTCCTTATGGAAAGCTTTCAGTGAGAATGTCAGTGGGGAAGTTGCCAGTTTAAGGCCAGGAGGAAGGTAAATGGCTGCCGCTGAGTGGGGGAGGCAAGAAGCAGGTGTTGTGGAGGTGTGGATCAGGAATGGTCCATGGGGATGTATGAGAGAAGCTGTGTGGGTTCGGAAGGGTGTATGGGTCTGCACCAGAGATGCAGCAGAGGAAGGTACAGATTGTGAAGGATGCCTGGGCATGTGTGAGAGATGCTGGTTTAGTGGGACTCATGGAGGCAGTTTGGTTCAGGAAGATGCAATTGCAGGTACAACCCAGCAGAAAAGCAGGAGGCATTAGCACTGAAGCAGCCACAACTCCCCCAAATTTCATTCCCTCAAGAATTATGGATCCTGGTTTTTGCATACATTCTGTAAATTAGCCCATTTGAGGTACTTGGTTCAACAATTGTTGTACTGTGATGCACTGTTTTATCCAGTTAAAGGTCATGACAACAAACATTTTTGTACACATATAAACAAATAAATAAATTCTTAACGCAATACTTTTTGTTCTTTAAATGACAGTGTACTATTTTCTTGGAAGTAATATACAAAGTTGTTTTAGCAATAGGACTTGAAGAGCCATTTCAATGAGAAATGCCAACATGTCAAAATAATTAAATCATACCATCTTATAAGAACTCTATTTTTTAATTATAAGCCATAACTGTTGTATTTTTAAAGAAGAAATCTCTGTTGCACATTGATTTTGATGCTAAACTACAAGAAAATATAACAAGGAGCTTCTGTTGAGAACTAGTTAACATGCTTCATAAAAATAATTAAAAGCCTGTGTTTTTCTGATGTTAAGGCCACACCATCAAACTATCACTTTTCTTGGCAGTAATCAACAGGGGGGCTTGAAAAAACAATCTGTTTGGAGAACTGCCAAAAATGAAATATGTCTGCTTGATATTTTTTAAACTCTAGTCATTTGCTAAAGCCTTTGCAGATTAGAAACTTTAAGAAGCTGGGCACTGAATCAAAAGCTTTTCAATCGGCCCTAATTTTCAGGTAAGTCTAGAATCCAAATTTTACAGATTATAAAAAGGCAGAACCACTAAAAGGGCAAAATGAACAGGAAAATATTAGATTATCCATTAGAGCAAAGGACTGAAATATTTCCAAGACATGGGCACTACGGTAGATAAGTAGGCCCCCTGCCAGAAAACTCTTTATCTGTAATTTTTTCTGAAAACCGGTCTAGAAAGAGCCTTCAAATCACAAAGACTGCCTGTTGAGAAGACTCCATTATCATTCTCATTGCAAAAGGAAGCACCAGTGGTTGACAGCAGGGCTAAGTATTTGATTTAAAACATAGTGATTTTTGAGATTGTAGTTCCAAATGTACTTATGTGGTAAACCCAATAATAAATTAAATAAGTGTAGTATGTGCATTTAATGTTACAGACAGATTTACCATCTGGGGTATGCACTTGTGGAGCTGATCCTACATACAAGTGTTGGTGTTAGTTTCTATATGTAGACTTTATCACAAGGAACTGAATTGTATTATTAACTACAAACTACAATGCCTAATACTGTGAAATGTTGCCCCATTCAGAATATAAATCTGTAAGACTAGACAATAAACAATTTACCTATTAAGTCTTCACATAGCATGTCTTAACATATCTGGGAGGCCATAAAGAAGATTAAAGGCAGTAAAGAATGGAAGCTTGACCTACTGATCTCTAGCATAGATAACACTGGAGGGAAATTCTAATGCAGTAAAAGGCATTGTGCTCTTGAGCATGATATAAGAGAGGAACACTACTTTCCCTGGAAATAATCCTAAAATAAGTCCATCAGTCAGTCAGAAAATAACTTTTCTGAAGCATATGATAAGCCTTCACACCAAACAAGTTTGGACTGGGCCATTAATTGGAGAAAATACTAAAGAAAAGATACAAAAAGCAGCATTTAAGAGCACAATATGATTTAGGAAATAAAAGGATAGCACGAAGGCAAGGTAATTTTCCATTGACTATAGCTAGAATTTCTCTAGTTGATGTAATCTGAAAAGAGCAAAATGTAGTAACTTTTAATGATATTTCTAATAGCTCAGTATTCTATATATTTCATTCGATTAGTTAAGCAAGTTTTTCTAGAAACTTTGCACATGACGCAAATGCAATAAGGTTTTGGCACTTAATTAGAATAAATTTCATTGTTATATGGGGACTATCAAATGCACAAGTTATCTTTCAGAATGAATTTCATTAATTGAAATAAAATCTTAATTGAAAAAAGTGCATATGATACATCATTCAACAACTTTAATTGCTTCTTCATTTTTCTTTGTTTTTTATAACGTTTAAGTATAACCAGTACTGTAAAGACAGTATAATTTTTGAAGCACTTATGTTCCAAAATGCAGTAAAGAAAATTTCAAACTTGCTGTTTTTACTTAGAATATACAACTGAGATGCAGCAAGACAATTGTGTAGGATTTCTCAGTTCATAGAATCATAGGGATGGAAGGCATCTTGGAGATCTACTCCAACCCATGATCAAAGCAGAAGACTTAATACCATCCCAATCAAAGTTTGCACCAGGTGACACTTTTAAGGTTTTATCAGAGTATCTTACTAAACTTTAAGCTCATCTAAGTTTAATATTTGTCATACAGCAGTGACATTTTTCTGTTAAAACTGATTATGCCATTATGTCCATCCCTTGAAAGTAACATTGCTGGAAGGTATCTTCAGGAAAGCATATTCAGGCAGATATCATTCTATATTTGGAAAAAAAAATCATACTCTATTGGGATCATTAGCAACATAAATAAAAAAGTAGTAAAAACTTTCAGACTGGGTCTGCAAAAACGAGTAAAGAACTACCAGTGAAAAACAGCACAGTTAACTGTCTTGAATTGCCAAGAAACCTGATTATGAGATTATGTGTGTGCGTATTTTGGTCATCAATCTGGCTATTTTCCATCACTACAGAGCTATAAGAATTAGAAAAAGCCCAGCCTATTGAATGAGAGACTGAAGCACCTGCCACTACTGGAGGCTCTGAACAGCTCATCTGGAGAAAATATGCCTTGTACTCCAATAACAGGGAGGCTACAAACCCTAATTCCCATGCAGTTTTTTCCATTTATCCTATGAGTTAGATAGGCACCTTTGATTATTTTTCTAAGAATGCAATGCATTTGTCCATTTGACACCTTGAGCCACATCACTTTTTATGTTATCTTGTGTAAATCTAACCCATGCTGTCAATTATGGGTTGAACCATAGAGAAAATCCTGAAAATTGGTCTAATTCAATGAACCAAGATTCAGTTAATCAGAAAAAGGGTGTTATGTGAAGACAGTGTGATAGCCAATTAAGATTGCTGTAGATTTCTGCGTGCTTGAATAAGAGATGAATCTAAGTTTGGTAGTTTTTTAATTTATGATAAGGATGAACATTCCACTGTGTGGTAAGCCCTTACCTTAGGTGAAAGATATACAAAAACAGACATGTTGTCAGGAATCAACATGTTGGAAGCATTTTTGAAAAAGGCCTATTAAATTTCATTATTCCTTTCCTTCCCTTATTATTGTGTTGAGTAGCAGCACAATTTTTTTTCAATTTACTAGCACGAATTCCAGGGCCTGCCTGCTATTTAATGATCTTACAGTCTTGTAACTCCTTCAGTGAATAGTTTTGCACAACAATCCTCCAAGACTACAGATACATCATCAACAGTTATAATCTATGCAATAATAACACATGCTTTCACAAGTAGCTTTTTTTGCTGGACATGTTTCTACAATATAATGGGATGGTGGTAAGGGCAATTATATCAACTTGTTTTTTTCTGCCACTTTCCCCAGCTCTTGTGTTTTTTCCATTCCCAGGTGAAGAAGAGGAATATTGTCACTCCGACACTTCTGGTGCCTGTGGGAGTCGTCACCATCAGCAAGGGAATTTTCTTTGGGCTAAACTACTGAGATTATGAAATGATATACCATACTGGCTCCTAGCTTGAATGAAAAAGATGCAATTAGAACAAGTAAGAGGAATGCATGCATCCATTTGTGCATTTGTAAGCTTGTACTGGAATAGGAATTCACTAACTGTACTCAGACAGCATCTACTCTTCTACTAATCACCCTGTGCACAGGATTCCAGGAGAGAGAAAGATGGAAAGGGAGAAAGGTGGGAGACTTACTGTCTTCATCTCCAGTCTACAGGGCTACAACTGTCCTGTTGAAAAACCAAATGGTTTGTTGTACGATGAATTATTTACTGGGATTTTTAAGAATGTGTTTCCATCTTACTTACAAACTGCCTTGAAAAGTTTTGCATCCTAAAAGATGTAGTAATTGTTACTATTATTTTTACTGTTAATAACAATATTTCCTTAATCTGTCTCTTACACACTGATACAATGCACATACTATATAGCATTAGTCTACATTTGTAAACACTCAAGTTGAAACGTTCAAATAGGTTGTGTTCTGGTTTAAATTAAGTTCTGCTGACCTGTGAAAGTAAGTCTGCTGAACAACTCTGTAAATCGTTACCTGATTTGATGGCTACAGCTTCAAAGCTTTGTGACCTTTTAGACTGCATGTGAGCCTCCCAATCAAGCGGCTTTTCTTTTTTATCCCATGACCTTCCCAACCTGATGAACTATACCAGTTAGCCATCCTTTTTCACTTCCCTGGCCTAATAACTGAGTAAACAAACAAATAAGGACTTCATATCTCCTGCTACATTAAAGCTAGTTAAGTGTGACTGAAAGCACCATAGATATTTTCAGAGACAGGAAGACACTGAAACTCCAACTAATCTCAATTGGAAATATTTGCTCAGCACCTGTAATCAAACAATCTTACCTATAAATAGGTTCTTTGGTGCATTTTCATGTACCCAATGAAGGGTTGAGGGGAAAAGAGATGTAGGACAAAAATCTCTTTGGCATAGCACTATTATTGGAATATGTTAATAATATGGTATACTAAGTGCTGAAAGTATATTTTTGCAAAGGTATGAATTAAATTAAATTAAATCATGAAACATACAACAACAATTTTGAATATCTACTTGCTATATCTAGTGTTGAATATCTACACTTTTGGAAGCTTCTCTGGATGCAGCAAGATATTTCATCACAAGTTGAAAAATGGATCGGTAAATAGGTGTGTTCTGGATAAGGTTTGTGTCAGTGGGTAAATTATAAAAAGTTATGTGAGGTATTAATGTTAACATTTTTATACTAATAGAGTCCCATGGATACTGCAAACCTAATACCAAAAGAAGGAATACTGGTTTTTTAAGTTTCACAATTACTGTTCTGTGTACTAGGCATTTCACTGTATAACTGCATAGTTGAAATCTAAGTGTTAAAATAATCAAGTCTCTTACTTTTTTTTTTCTTTATGTCAATCAGATATTCTTTGCTTGCAATTGTGCAATTGTGTAACTGTTCAAATGATATACCATATACTGTATAAAAACTACATTTTCTTACTCGATCTAGGAATTCATATATTGTTTAAATGTATTTTTACGATACACATAAAGATTGGACTGATATTCTGCCTTTCATTTGGTGTTCAAAATAACCCTCCCATTTTTTTTCCTGTAACATCATTCTTGTGAGGGCCAGTTAGATTGAGAAAGTTTAACTAGCCTAAAATTTCCCAATGTACTTCCTTGGCTAAGGGTGTACCTGAACATAGATCTCTTCTGGACCAACACTTCAATTATTTTACTGCACTTGGTCTCCATATAGCTCAACTGCGGCACTCAGGATTAAGATTCTGAGATTTCATTCAATAGTTCTCTGAAGAGACTCTAAAGGTTTCCTGTAACATTTTTAGATCTGTTTTGTGGAGTGATTTAATGAGTACCTAAAGGAACATACCATAAAAAATAAGAAACAGAATCTCACATTGCTGCTTTTTGATTACTTCTGCTTATGTATGAATAAAAAAAGAATACAGTACATTGAGCATTTCAAAGCCCAGTTCTTAGGAGTTACCATCTGAAGACAACACATTAACAGGATTCACATACTGTGCTAGCCACTAATTTGCTTGATCATATTTTACTGAATAAAAACAATTGTTTGGTTTACACAACAAATTAAACAAAACCAAACTGGCTACATTAATATTTAATGCCATTTATTATGCTGGAACAGAGTCTAGGCCTTGCAAATTTCAAATCTAATTTTAAATCAAATTTAACATGTAGGGCTGCACTTTAGGTTAATGATTTGGTTCATGCATCATGCTAAGCCAAAACCCAGAGTTTAAAATTTCAAGAGTTATGTTCTTGCAGCATGCTAAATCAGAGCCAAACAAAAAACAGAGACTTAGCAGTGTGTGTGAATCAGATTTATAAGTAATGAATGTAAAGCTCACAATGTTTAATGAAGCTTGCTTCCACTTAGATGAATTAACCATTACAACCTATTCTATATAGTAGTCTAAAACCAATTGGTGAAGGAAAACAAAGCTGAAGCAACTCAGCTGTTTAACATTTATGCTTCATCTGTAGGCTACCAGTGTTTGTTCTTCATTGATACTAACATCAACCTCTTTCGCTCTGTGATATAGCAATGTTTATTATACTACTCAGTGTGGGAATAAAAACAACTTTTTAGGGCCTCTGCTTGCAAGGAAGTTGATGACCTGGCCATCTGGATTTCTCAAGCAGTTAGCAATACAGACATATTACTTTTAATAATATTTTCTAAGAAAACCTTTCCCCTTCCCAAGGATATTCAGAATAGTAACCCACTAGCAAACACATTGGCTGTTGACAATTATTCTTCCTTATTTAGTGCCAGTGTTTGAAGAGAATTAAGACTATTGTAAAATAACTAGTTATTTTTTTAAAAAATGAAGATAATATTTTAAAAGTCTGTTTGTTCCTCAACCAAACACTTTCTCTTATAGCCAAACAGTTGGCTGCTGTCAAGTTCCAAAATCCTTGTGGCATCTAGTAGGCAACAGAGATGACTAAACAAAGAACTGTGATCCACATCTTGACTTTGCTCAGAGCTTACTAGATTGTGTTACAGAAACAGTTTTTCTGATGTTCAATGGTCTAATTAATCTTATTTCCAGAATTGTGATAAACTGCTGAGGGATAAACCACCTAGCTGACACGGCCATCAAGGTCATGCCACCTACTGTGCTACATTTGTAAAGTGCCACTTTCAGGCAGTGTGAAATTTTAAACGAGTAGATATTTTTCCTATCATCACATAAATCCCAGCCTGGACTAGCAGTGGAAACCGAGGAGCCCATCTGGCATCTTTACAGGAAGCCTTGCACATTTGACTGACTCAGTTAAATCTGTTAAAAGTGGTTTGAATGAACTAAACAGATGCACAGTATCATTTGTTTATTTATTACATTTATATGCTGCCCATCCTACTGTCTGAAGTGACTCTGGGAGGCTATGAACCAAGGCTTCATTTAGCCAAAGTATTTAGCTATGAAATGAACTTAAAGGAGGATCAATTAATTGGCAAATTCCAAGTAGCTTTTCATAAAATGTAGATTAAAGTACAGGTAGTCCTCAACCTACAGACACAATCAAGCCCCAAATTTCTGTTTCTAAGCAAGAAAGTTATTAAGTGAATTTTGCTTCATTTTATTACTTTTCTTGCCACAGTTGTTAAGTAAATCATTTCAATTAAGTTAGTAACACAGTTGTTAAGTTTATCTGGTTTCCCCATTGACTTTGCTCATCAGAAGGTTGTAAAAGGTGATCACATGATCCCAGACACTGCAACCATTATAAATACACGCCAGTTTTGGGAGTGTGGCTCAAGGCTCATGATCTAATTGGAGTAACTGCCAGAATCCTGACAAAGTATCTGAATTTTGATCACATAACCATGTCGATGCTGTCATGGTTGTAAGTGTGAAAAATGGTCATAAGTCACTTTTTTCAATGCTGTTGTAACTTTGAACAGTCACTAAATGAACTGTTGTAAGTTGAGCACTACCTGTCCTGTATAGGTCCTATAGGTCCTATATATTACATCATCAAAGCTATTTCTTTCCTCAGATGAATATAAAATATCACCTAGTGTTTTTAAAAAAGAACAATTCTTCTATAAGCAGATAATAATAAGACAACGACAAATCAGATCCAAGGTACTAAAGGAACAAGCTATAAAGAGAAACAAAATGGATTATAAAGTTTGGAGTGACATTTTGAGTTTTTACTTTCTAAAAATTATCAGGCAAATTAAAATCACATTTTTATAAGTAGCATTTCCTCTAGATATATTGCCTTCTATCTTAAAAAAAATGCAAATATAATAATAAGGAACAGAGATACTGGAAGTTCTTCTATAAAAGATAGGTGGCATTATTAAAACCACTTCATTTTAGATTTGATAACTAAATATTATTTAGTGCAAGGTTATTTCCATGCAATTATCTCATTCAACAGATTTTGTTCTGAAGACTATTATTTCTTATATAGTTCAAATATATTTTAATGAACAATGTAAGCATAGAGAGGTTATAAAATAAGAAAAAAATATTATTACAGTATTATTTATTTATTTAATTAATTTATATTGCTGCCTATTCGCCCATGGCATATAGATACATATATAGATATAGATTAAAAACAATAAAAACTAACAAAAGGAATCAAATAAATTAATAAAGTACAATAGAACAAAATCTGGGGAAAAATTATTCTGTAAAGAGGCTAGTAATGATTTTAGTTTAGTTTATTTCTGTTAAATATATGCAATATCTTTCAGCTCCTTCTCTAAAAGAGGAATACATTCTGGACCCATGGCTTTTTACATTTTTGTTTTATAGGCACATCCTTTGAAAAGAATATTAATAGCCAATGGAAAGCCAAATAGATTGCTGAATGCCCAGACATAGGAAGGCATATAAATGACCTCACAAAAAAGGCGCCAGGCTTTGAACTACCGTGTCAGCAATGGGCAATCCTGAAT